CCACGACGAGCTCCACCACCGTGCGGTCTGGGAGCCGCGCTGCAGTCCTCAACTAAACTAGGCTGCTCCACCTTGCCGTCACCGGCCCTTTCTCCGCCCACCTCCCCCTTCTCCTAACATGCCCAAAACCCTCTCGATCTTAAAAGCCCCGTATCTTTTATCCTGTTAGGTTTTTGGGGATTCTAAAAATCTTCAACGAGGTTCCCCTAGTTGAATTCGGATGTAACTTTTCGAGTAGATGACTTTTCATATAAAAAACTTTTTAATCCGAGTTCGTATGCAAAGTTATGCCCATTTTACTAAATTCCAGAGAGATTTTGTAAATAAAGTCGAAATTCATATTTATAAATTTTCCCAACAACTAGACCACATATCACACGGGAAACTTCTTTTCTTTTATTTTTTGAACATTTCCATCATTTTCTTTTATTTTTTTAAAACTGAAAAGGCGGTCCACAAGGGGGGTGCATTTAGTAATGATGCACCTTCACAAAGTGCGCCATTACTATGTGTATGACTTGGTCAAACCTTGGTCAAAGTTAGTAATGACGCAAACTTAGTAATGGCGCACCTATGCAAAGTGCGCCATTACTAAGTTTGACCAAGGTTTGACCCAGTCATACACACAGTATCAAACCTTGGTCAAACTTAGTAATGGCGCACTTTTCACCTAGTGCGTCATTACTGTTTTGGTTACTAATGGCGTACCTACACATGACGCGCCAGATGTATAGTGTGTCATTAGTGTCCATATTGGCTATAGCTATTTTTCTAGTAGTGTGCTATATGCCTAGACTCATTGCAGCCTCGTCGATCAAACTAAGCTGCCATCCAGAGGCTACAGATTCAAGTACACAGGTAGGAAGAACATATTGCAGAGAATCAAATTAAGCAAGTGGCAAGTAATGATGAATGAAATTCAGCAATCTTACCCTAAACATAGCTACGGCCGCCGTTCAGACAAGGAGAACGGCGAGGGAAGCGTGGAGAACGGCGGGGAAGCGATGTCGCGACCATTGTCCTCCTCCTCTTGCGCTTCGGAGTCATCTTCGACTCGGTTGGAGGCTCCACAATCTGCAACGGCACCTCGTGCACCGTGGGTTCCTGATCTAGTGGATTCTTTACCTTGGATCAGAACGCTCACCACCTTCGTCTGGTCCACGGGCTGGACGAATCGGCATGCTCCATCGCCCAGAGGAGGATCTCGACGAAGTGCATCGGTTGTGCGGGTGAGGGGGGGGGAAGCTTTGCCTTCTCTCTACTCATCATTTGCTTCAAAGTGGCCATTGTCGTCCAGTGCATCTGACTTGTGTTGTGAAACCAAGAACGGATCTCCGTCAACCTTCTCATCTTGATCTGGTCGCCGTAGGCGATCTCCATGAAGTCGGCGTTCTCGCCGCCGGCGATCTGCTCGATCTGCTGCACCATCGAAGTTTTTGCGTGGATGGAAGAGGGGGATGGATGTGGAAGCTGGGAAGAGCAAAGTTGCGGCCGCGAAAAGGAGGAGAAGGCTAGGAGATGGCCGCGGTTGTAATGGTGATGGAAGAGGAGAAGTTTCACGGCGGTGGCCATTTTCATTGGACGAGAGGGGCAGCGGTTTTGCATTGGACGAGAGGGCCACCTTATCATATTTTCCTAGGACTAAAATGCCCCTAGATTAAAAGGTGTCCCCACCTTATCATCAGTACTTTCGAGTACTTTCATCCGCGTACTTTCGAGTACCACGTATGTATGCACTGTTAGATCGAGGCAAGCGAACGGCTCCAAAAAACGCCAACTACTGTAAAAGTTGTACTGAAGTAATTATCATATCTCACACTAGTGCAGAACCGGCCTTTAGTGCCGGTTCGTGACGGTCTTTAGTGCCGGTTCACCAACCGGTACTAAAGAGTGGGGACTAAAGGTCTCCCCTTCAGTACCGGTTCGTCACGAACCGGCGCTAAAGTGCAAACACGTGGCACGAGCCAGGCCCGGGTGCGCGTAGGGCTTTAGTACCGGTTGGTAACACCAACCGGTACTAAATGTTTGGGTGTTTTTTTTAATTTTTTCTTTAATTTTGTGTTTTCAATTTAATTTAGTGATTGTTTTACATTATAATGAGTTGTTAAATCATTAGGTGAAAGTACCGCGGATTAGTTTCGACTGGATGCATTTGGATCTAGCTAGCTAAGTGAATAAGTATATGCCATATCCATATTATACTTGATCACCTAATTAGGTGATCAAGTATAATATATATGGATATGGCATATATATACTTGATTACTTAGGTAGGATCCATCCAGCTGAAACTAATCTGTGGTCTTTCATTAAATGATATAATAACTCATCATCATCATTATCATATTAATATAAAAACTCTTACATCATATCATCAACATGAGTATATATATATACTCTAGCTAGCTAGCTAAAAATCATCATAGTCGTCATTATCACTATTTAATCATCATAGTTATTACCGCTATCTAATCACCACCAATAGTAGCTTAAAGAAGAAACATTCACTTGTACCAGAAGCAAAAATATCATCGAGTTCAACATGATTGTCATGATATTATAAGCGTTCATATATAACACCACAAAAGCAAATCACTCTTTGAGATTAAGTTCAAAACGAAGAACACGAACATGAAAGGACAAGTACTAAGAGCAGCATGAACTAGCTAAATCACTCCTGCTAGCTACTCTCTCTCTGGTAAAATAGCATAGAACATGTATAGCTCTCCTGATTCATTATACTGGAGCATGCAGATGAGCCTGTCTCCTAATCGTGGGCTGCGCTTCTCATTGCTGCCCCCTAGTACTTCTCTGCGATCGTTAACAATTTTCCTCCAATCTTTCACTATTAAGCATTCATCGCTTGTAGAAATCTTGAATGCATTCATATGCAATGCAGGATATCTTGGCCGTAAGCTAACAATTGACATGCGACCTTTAGTCTCGATCACCTGAGGCACAACTGTCATCGGGAGTACCTGTTGAAGAACATCGTATAGTACTTAATTAATATACTTAGTAATGAAAGTTTAGCAAAAAAATTATGTATGCAAAAGATGCACTAAGGACAAATAGTAAAAATCTTACCATCATTCCTAAATAGATGTGACCGTAGTTCAATACCATCACTATTGGTCGCACGTTTTGAGTACTAACATTTCTAAGTGCAGGAAGAAAATTTGTCTTGACAGTATGAAGATCCTCAAGCCATGAAACATAATGACTTATCTCCTCGCAGTTTAGTTCAACTCCGGGACAGTAGTAGGTCCTGTCTACCAAGCGTCGGACATGTTTGCTTGAATGAAAATAAGCTGTC